CAAGAGGGGAAGGAGAGCGCAAGGAAGAAGAGCACGAGCTAAGCATCACTTTGTCTCACTCGCTGACTGTATAAGATCTGGTTACGTTGGTGGACAGTTAGTCATAACTCGTAACGTTTTGTCCTTCTTCTTTTCAAAATAATGTAATTAATTGGCTCACCATCCGAAAAAGAAGAAAGTTGCCAAAGTTGCGATTTCTTCCGAAACATCGAAAAGTTGCGAAAAATGTTTCGAGCATCTTTGCGAAATGGCTAGTAAGGAGCGAAAGGTTCATTATCTGATTCACTAAGCTATAAGTGGTCCAATGTACTCACACAATCAACATGTACTTCATATGCTTAGTGCTATTAGTATAATAATTAGTTAAAACATATTGAGCACTCTCTTGGACAGCCTGGGACCTCTCTGTTTTAATATTTACTTAGTGTGACTGTAGATGTAGCAGTGTCAAAATGGTAAACAATCTAACACTACTATAGTCTATAGTCTATAGTGTATTTTATATTGTACAGGTATAGACCTGTAGACTTTTTCAAATATTTAAAATTTTGCTTTCAGCGTTTTGACATCTACATTTGTATCTTGGGGATACTGGTCAGGCAGTACCTCCAATTTTCCTTACATAAATCTAGGTGATTGGACAACAAACGCCCATTTTTACACACAAAGTAATCAAATATTTAATGTAGTATAGATGTTGGTTGACACAAGGGGTCTACATGACATTATCTACCATTGAACGCATTAGACATGTAGTACGAATTTCCAGTCTGACAACCATCACTGAATGAGTGGTAAAATAACAACTTTTAGCCATGGTAAAAAGTAATACTAATAGTACAGTGCTGCTCAATGAAAGCCAGTCTACAGTCGGGTCACTGAAGACAAGTTTGCGACTCGCATCATTTCACAGACCAGTGTACAGTGGTGTTGGCAGGTGTAGGGCTGCGCAACGCCTGACGCGTACTTGAGGGATACGACTGGAGTTCGTTGAGCAGAACTGAACAGTGACAGACAGACTCTACAATCACAGCACACCGGACCAAACCTGACACCCGACCTGGACTTTGCAGGTCTGGAGCGGAGCAGGGAGTTGTATAAACACGACTCCGTGGTCTGGAGTCTGGACAGGGCAAGACAGGAGGAGCATGCATGCAAGCGCAGAATCTCGCTACTTGTAATCTGTGTGATAGATCCACTGTCACTGTGTGGTAGATGGTAGATGATTCACACATTCACGACCCTGGTCTGGGTAACTTTTCACACACTGCTGCTGTTGATGTGTTGGTGTGTGTGTTTCCGAGCGAGTGAAACAAGTTCAGAAAAGAAATATTACCTACTCGATACTTTCAGTCACAAGCATATTTGCTTGCGTTGCAACGATATTCGTGCTAGCACACTCCCTCCGAGTCTGCTAAGTGTCGGAGCAATGGCGGTCAAACCCCCAGGCTCAATGCCCTGGCGCAAATCACGTTTTCAACGAAAAGGATATCCTCCGGAGATTTTCCAGGACGCGAAATTTCGCGAGAAGAAGTACCTTTGCTCACATTGTCACCAGGTGCTTGACCAGCCGCGTAGTGGTCCGTGTGGTCACCGCTACTGTCGACTTTGCCTTGAAGACCGCATAGATCGGTAAGTTGTGACTGCTAGCGTTTCTCCTATTTCGAGTGTTTCCAGGCTTGAACCTCTCCCATTGTCGCAAGGCTATCGTGTGATTATCCGCTCCTGCATGTATTGTGTTGTGTAATAGTCTATACTATATGTAATGTGATTCCTGTGTGAGCAGAGCTAAATCTACTGTACTATTTGTATCGTGATGTGGATCAGGTTGGCGATTATCGTTTTCCGCGATTACGTTCATTCAAACTACAATGAAAGTTGAAGTTTCAATTTTAGTGCAGCTAACAAGGAAATAGAAACTCATTCGCACAGCCGAAGTTGATTTGTAAACGTATCAATTATTGTCAATCACTTCCCTTTCCTGTGGAATATTATGTTCTGTACCTACAACATAGGTATACCATGTTACCACTTGTCAAACTTTTCGGACAAAATTGAATCGTACATCTACGAAATTTCGTCAAGACCAGCGCGACAATCGCCTGGTGTGTAATTTGGCCAAAACGTCAGCCGATTTTTAGTGCTTGCACGTGGTGGAGCGGACCTCCAATCAATCACAGACGATATTTCACTATGGCAGAAGAGAGTGTGGGTGCAGATCGTGAATTGGCTGCACTGGATCGCTACTAGACGCTAGCAGCTAGCATTATCACACGTTTGCCTATGCAGCTGGTGAAAAAAAAAAACGATCTCACTTCCGCTCAGGTAGTGCTACACACACACAGTTGTCAAGCATCTCTACAAGACCACAATACTACAGTGCTGGAAACTGAAATCCCACCCCCTTGGCGGTGCGGCCCTGGGCGGCGCGCCTCGCCGCCAAGGGGGTGGGATTTCACTTGCCAGCTCTGTAGTATTGTGGACATGGAAATCCGGTCGCACGTCAAGCGGCCCCAAGGTGCTGGCCATGCAGCCGTGGATAAGCGGTACACACATGCATGTACACACATGCATGTATGTACATGCATGTGTGTACACACATGCATGTATGCGCTGTAGCGCGCTGGTCGAATCGGATCAACATGTGCACTGCACGCCACACGTGCTGAAAGGCGCCGGTCAATCTATGTCCGCTACAGTAGTAGACAGCATGGTGTAGATACCATAGTGTGTTTACTACAGTTTAGTGTTGCTCTGTACCACCAGTGACTGGGTGACTGGGTGGTGCACACACAGCAGCATACAAAGGAAATCACTGGTGCTTTGTTGCGAAGAATATGCTCCATTTCTGGCTTTGTAAACTGCCCGTATGCCTGGTCCACACTTGTCGGATTTTTCGGCCAATATCGGATTATACGACTAGTTTGCTGGATCAGCAAAATAAAATACAAAATTGCAAGATGTGAACGGTTTGGTCACACGCGTTTCCGATACATTTGTGTGTGTATAGGCAGTCCAACCCAGTCAGCTGATTGTATTACAGGGTCGGTGTCAGAACGCTGGCCAAAAAAACAGTCCGATTGCGGGTCAGGCATAACTCAGTGTGTTTTGCGTACTCAAATTTCTGGTTGTGTAAACTTAGCGGTACTTTGCAAACTACCAATAATATTATATTCTTGTTCTGGTCAATGGAATCCCATTGAGAGAGTAAAGTACCCGACGGGGTGGGGTAGGGGCAAGGGGGGGGGGGGGCTGGGGTGAGGGTAGGGTTGTGTGTGTGTGTTGGGGGGGGGGAGGTTTTGGCAGGGTTTGTGAGTGGGGTTGTGGGTGGGGGGGGGGGGGGGAGGCTGGGGGGGGGGGGTAGGGCTGTGTGTGTAAGGGGGGGGGGAGGTTTTGGGTGGGGTTGTGTGTGAGGGTTGTGTGTGTGGGTTGTGTGTGTGGGGTGTCTGTGTGTGTGTGTGGGGGGGGGGGGGGGTTGTGTGCGGGTGTGTGTGTGTGTGTGTGGGGTGGGGGTGGGTGGGGGGGGGGGGGAGGGAGGGGGTTGTGTGTGGGTGGGGGGGGGGGGGGGGTAGAGTATACATCTCAATGCCAGTGAGTACATGGCTACATAATGGTGTAGTGTGTGTGTGTGGAGGGGGGGGACGTGTGTGTGTGTGGGGGGGGGGGGGGGTAGAGTATACATCTCAATGCCAGTGAGTACATGGCTACATAATGGTGTAGTGTGTGTGTGTGGGGGGGGGACGTGTGTGTGTGTGGGGGGGGGGGGGGGGGTTGGGGACGTGTGTGTGTGTGTGTGTGTGGGGGGGGGGGTGTGGGGGGGGGGGTGGTTGTGTGTGTGGGGGGGGGGGGGTTGTATGTGGGTGTGTGAGTGGGGGTTGTGTGTGTGTGGGGGGGGGGGGGGTGTTTGTGTGTGTGTATGTGTGTGTGGGGGTTGTGTGGGGGTCTGGGTGGGGGTCATGGGCGGGGGGTGGGATGGTTGTTTGGCTGTATGTATGTGTGGGTGGGGGTTGTGTGTAGGGTATACATGTCTATATCAGTGAGTAAATGGCTAGAGAATGGTGTAGTGTGTAAACTTGATCCAGACACACACACACACACAACCATAAATGAATACAAAGAGGTACTTAAATCCACACACCTAAAGAACTAGTGTATGATGAAATTTCAAATTCTAATTTTGTTGTTTCAGGATGAGACCCACTGCTGAATGCTACTGGAAGGATTGCCAGGCAGTTCTGAAACCAGCCGAGGTATGTTTATACAGGTCATGTGCCGTTCTGGGCTTAACCCTTTACCGCCAGCAGCCCGGCCATACTTGAATGTGTCGTAAATGACGCATTCCACATGCATACTTAAACCAGGCCTGGTATGACAGGAAGCATCAGCCCACGGGGATTTCCCGTGGCCCTCACACAGCCTAGGTATGATCCTATCCGTAGCTGAAGAGATCTACACGTGTCCCATTTGATTTCATTGAGAACTGCGCGATCCAAAACTTACGGAAATACACGCGCGCCGACAATGCCGTCTGCCTCCGTCAAAACGTCGTCAGATGCATTTCCTCTTGCGCAGTGAGTTCCTTCCGTCCTCAGATGACTTCTCCGACGAGGACCTAGCAGACCTTCGCTCTGGGACAGACGACAGATAGATAAATACTTCGTTCCAGGCGCTGATGCGAGCGAATTTCAAATTGCGGAGCAAAGCGCACGCCAAGTAAATTCTCGCGCATATAACGGGAGCTCCAGCCGCTGAAGACGATGTCATCGTGATGTACCTGGAAGAATTTGATGGTTCTTATGGTGGGGAAGCCATCGAGAGTGATCCCCGTGTCGACATTCCCCCAGAGACGGAATTTTAGGCCATCGACTTTCTCCGTACCTGAGTGACGGCAGCGCAGCGCGACTTGCGCACGACCTTACGGAGCCATCGGACAGCGATTCTGGGGCGATGCTGCTCTCAATTGCGAGCGAGGCACGTCTACTAAAGTCTGTGATGGCCATGGCGTTCGTTTCCGCTCCGAAGTCGACTTGTTTAGGCAGTATCATGTCAATGTCGGAATCTGACGATTTGCACTATGTACAATTTCCGTCATGGCCAGCAATCGAGGACATCTGAGAGTTGTAATTTTTGTACTCCTCCGAGGTGTGATTTTTGGCGTGCTGGGCCAAGCACAAGGAAGCCATCTGCAAAAAAACTGCAGAAAATGGTTGTTGTTTGATCCTTTGGTGTAATCTTTGTTTCTAGTCGAAGCTAGTTGCTGTTTGGAGCAGAAACGCTGAAATTGACTATTTTCTGCATGTACTCATACATGTACTCATGTACTCAGGCATGCAGTCTCACTCGTATTTTAGCTCTTTTTCTGGAATGGATGCTGCTCTGCGCCCCTTGGTGAACATTTCCTGCGCTCGTGGAGCAGCTGAAAAGGACCACTGGTATGTCTGGTTCCTGGTTTGAGAGTGGAGAGTCGACTGTTGTGCCTTGAAAAAGGAGTAGAGAGCGATAAAGGTACGTCTGTGGCTGATTTTTGAGTGCTCCTCGTACATTTTTGATCGTGATAGAAATTCTCAGACCAAAGTCAGACCAAAGTCAGTGCGATGATGGTCGCACAGTTTTCTTGTGGATTTTTTAGTTGTTTCATCTCGTATCTATGTCAGTATTGTGATGGTGAAGTGGAGAGGGTGATTTTCTTCCTCTAGGCTTCGTTCGGCCGACTTTGCTTCGTCCTCGTTGAAAAGTGATCCTGAAAAAAAGGTCGATTCGCAAAATTATGTTGATTTTCAATGTACGAGATGACATGCGATTGCTGGCTATGGTTTAGACGTATAGGTGCCAATTTAGCAGCGTATTTTGTGTGGCATGTGAAAATAAATGTTTCCAAGGTCAAGAAGTAGTACCAGACTTCCAAGAAAACATAACTTGCACATACAAAATGTGCCTTCGTTGTGAGTTATTGGCATCCTTCTCAATGTTATGGATTTCATATACAAAATGCACTTGCCGGTAAAGGGTTAAGCTGTGTTCAAAACTGCATGGCGGGTGGACGCGGTACGCTTGCGGTTCATCCGTGCCCAAATGCGCACTTAGGCTTTCACAATAAGCAGCAATTCGAGTCTTATTGAATGAATGCGACACCTTCGAGTACTATTGTTTCGACCCCACTAGTCAAAGTGGCTGGCATGCATGCCGGTACGCGCCTGATACGCGCTGAAAAATCCAATTTTGAAATTTCCCTTTCAGCGCGTTTTCACACGCATGACGCCCCAAAAGCCAGCAAAAATACGCACAAACACATGGTTTCACACGTACACGCGCCAGTTGTGAACACTGGTTACGTCACCAATAGGTCTAGATCTTACAGTAACGGGTCTCTCTGCCCGGTCTGGAGGTCTAGATCTTATCGTAATGTTTTTGTCTGGTCTGAAGGTCTAGATCTTGTAGTAATGTATCTGTCTGGTCCGGAGGTCTAGATCTTGTAGTAATGTATCAAATCATTCATACAGCTACTGCAGAATGCAACATACTAGTTGATATCCAGAATGCAACATACCAGTTGATATCCAGCCCTGCGCTAGCTTTCCTGCGATTCTCTTACTTTTCAGTTCTCCTTTCATTTTTTTCTCCCTCCCCTCTATTGCCGCCATGTCTAGCTATCACCGCGTCTCCCTTTCATTTTTTTCACCCTCCCCTCTATTACCACCATGTCTGGCTATCACCGCATCTCCCTTTCATTTTTTTCTCCCTCCTCTCTATTACCGCCATGTCTGGCTATCACCGAATCTCCCTTTCATTGGCTAGTGCCCCTTGATTGTGAGTAAACAAATAATTAAAATATTTAAATAATAATCTGTCTGTCCAGCAGGTCTACAGTTGTGGCAAAACAAATCCGCCTAGTACTATACAAGCTAGGGTTAGCTAAGCACAGTACATGTGCTGTATGCACTACCACTCCTACACTCCATTCATTGGAAACTGGCACTCTAACTTTTTGGTGTCTCTCTCACATAGTTGTAGATATCGTGAAAACAACGGTACATCCTGCATTATGTTACCCGTGCAATTACTCATTGCCACATTGTAGGCCCGAAAAGTTCAAGAGCAGGGAAATAGAAATTCAGCCAGGTTTTACAAAATAAGGACAGATATGCCATGGCAAAATGTATGGAGACGCAGATCATAAACCCAGATTTGTGAGATTTAACGTGGGTTTTTGATCCTCAGTTCGGCCCAAATCCGACTTTCAAAAGCCAGCGGGACAGTTTCCGATGAATGGACAGTAGTGTATTCCAGAAAGTCAGTCATTGTAGTGCAGAGCACATGCCCTGATGTCAGGTCTGTATGTACACTCAGTACAGTGATAGACTTAACTGCAGTAGATCAGAGTGTAGTGTAGACTGGTCAGTGTAGTGTAGACTGGTCAGTGCAGTGTAGACTAGTCAGTGTAGTGTAGACTGGTCAGTGTAGTGTAGACTGGTCAGTGTAGTGTAGACTGGTCAGTGCAGTGTAGACTGGTCAGTGCTGTGTAGACTGTTCAGTGTAGTGTAGACTGGTCAGTGTAGTGTAGACTGGTCAGTGTAGTGTAGACTGGTCAGTGTAGTGTAGACTGGTCAGTGTAGTGTAGACTGGTCAGTGCAGTGTAGACTGGTCAGTGCAGTGTAGACTGGTCAGTGCTGTGTTGGCATGCATTCCACCATACCATCATGAATGATGAAGTATTGCCAGTGAACACGTGAACCCATACCATACCATCATGAATGATGAAGTATTGCCAGTGAACAGGTGAACCCATACCATACCAGCATGAATGATGAAGTATAGCCAGTGAACAGGTGAACCCATACCATTCCATCATGAATGATGAAGTATTGCCAGTGAACAGGTGAACCCATACCATTCCATCATGAATGATGAAGTATTGCCAGTGAACAGGTGAACCCATACCATACCATCATGAATGATGAAGTATTGCCAGTGAACAGGTGAACCCATACCATACCAGCATGAATGATGAAGTATCGCCAGTGAACAGGTGAACCCATACCATTCCATCATGAATGATGAAGTATTGCCAGTGAACAGGTGAACCCATACCATGCCACCATGAATGATGAAGTACCGCCAGTGAACAGGTGAACCCATACCATACCATCATGAATGATGAAGTATTGCCAGTGAACAGGTGAACCCATACCATACCAGCATGAATGATGAAGTACCGCCAGTGAACAGGTGAACCCATACCATACCATCATGAATGATGAAGTATTGCCAGTGAACAGGTGAACCCATACCATACCATCATGAATGATGAAGTATTGCCAGTGAACAGGTGAACCCATACCATACCATCATGAATGATGAAGTATTGCCAGTGAACAGGTGAACCCATACCATACCAGCATGAATGATGAAGTATCGCTGGTGAACAGGTGAACCCATACCATACCATCATGAATGATGAAGTATCGCCGGTGAACAGGTGAACCCATACCATACCACTGTATCCATGGCAATAGACAGATGTGTTCGGCAACCACTGTATATCTTATAATAATACGTCTGTCTGATCAGTACGTCTTTGTTGTGTAGTCATATATCTGTCTGGTCAGTATGTCTTTGTTGTGTAGTAATGTATCTGTCTGGACTGTACGTCTTTGTTGTGTAGTAATATATCTGTCTGGTCAAGAGGTCTACAGTCAACATCGCTAATAACGACTGCGGATATAACGATAATTTGCGAATAACGACAGCATGTCCATGCCCAGAGCAAAGTCCCATAGAAATGAATACATATAATGAGACTTCGGGTATAACGACACTTCGCGAATAAGGACACTTTTCTGACGCCCCGCCAAGTGTCGTTATACGCAAAGTTGACTTTAGGTCTTGTAGTAATGTATCTGTCTGTGATCTGTCTGGTGAGCCACTGTATGTGCAGGAAAATTTCGGACGGAACTACTTTAGGACAAAGCCAAATTTTGACCTTTTTGTACGGATTTTATTTTCGTACAGTTCTGCATGCTAAAACAAATGCACGTCAGGGGCGTAGCACCCGCTACGACTGGTACGACCATGGCCGTACCACTTTTCGAAAAGTGTGGTCCGTCTGGAACGTGCAAAACCGTAATAAAAAAAATCAGGATCCATCGATGCATACATTATGTACATGTACACAAGAGTACATAACCCCCCAGAGTGTGCAACGCCGATCCAGCTCTGCATATGTAGGGTCTTGGTCGAGCGGAATCGGATC